TCTCGCCGGAAGTAGTAAGTCATCCGGGTACTTCTCGCATACTGTTTTTCGAATTCTATGAATTCAGACATACTACTCGGCTCGCATACTGATTTTAGCGTACTGTATAGTATGGAAGTATACGGTTTCGGACGCAGTCATACAGTTCGTATTTTGTCTGGCACACTTCACCGCTGTCATTTTAGTCTGCCGCACCACCTAAAATCTTGTTCGCTGCTGATGTGGAGAACAAAAGCGAGTTTGAGCCTGTAAACAGTGCCCCTCTCTGTTTAAAGCATGTATTGCGATTCATTCAACATTTGTACCAGTTTGAAACGTCACATATTTTTTCAACCGAATCACTGTGAATCGTTACATCACTAAGTATCGTCTTTAAAATGAATATATGCTACGAGGCAGTATAATTCCACTCCTTTTCTCGCTTACCAGCTGACCGATTACCTCCATATTGACAGCTTTTCCACTGTTATCAGTTTGTCCGGTAGTTCGACATGTACGTCGGCGGAATTTAGATGCAGAGCGGAGTTGACCGCGACAACAGAGTTCGAGTCTGGAGAAGAACGATTCCAGAAAGTAGGTAAGACAAAAACAGAAGTCAAAAAATAAAATAAACAAGTAAATAACAGGATGAGAATGTGGTAAAATCTGAAAAAGTAGTAAAAATCAGGATCCTTTTCTTTTCTGGATTGTTTTTCCAAACACAACCAGTTGGGTTTAGGAAAGGGGGACGTCAGTCAGTCAGTTAGTCGACAGCGGCCTCTGGTGGATTTACGTGAAAACAGCAGGCATGAATGGCAAAATTTGAAATCTTAAAAAAAAAAAAACACAGTGGCCTCAAAAAAAAAAAAAAAACTGCAAAAAGCGTAGCTCCTGGGACGTATTGTGCTCTCCAGAAATGTATATAGGGGTACGTTTTCAGAATGAGCCTGGGTTGGAATTTCGTCAATAAAACGCACTTGACTTAAAGTCAAATTTTTACGACCAGATATATCCGTTCACAACCATTTTTATTTTTAATGTTATGTAGGTTAGATGACTGAAAACAAGGCATGAAGGCACAAGCAAATGCACTTAAATTTCTTTGGAAATCAGTCCGTTTGTATATTGCATATCATATCTTTTTAAACAGTCCCACCGTGACAAACACTGAGTTACTCACCCTGAAATTGATTGTGCTTGTGATTCATAATTAAAGCTCATTAAAGAGATTGCACGTCTGTCCCTCACTCTTTGTTAATAAAACATGGTGTCTAGCTTGATGCTTACGAATGTTGTTTTGGAATGTCGTTTAGTCTTCTTCTAAATAAAGCCTCTGATATAAGATCTCCCATCGCCATGGCACACAGATCCACTGTTTTGTGTGCCTGTGCCACCTAATTTCACCTCTTTCTAACAGCCGTAGCTTATTTAACTCTAATCTCAAGGTTTGGTGCTTTGTGAATACACATGGTTTTTTTAAGAAAGAGATAAAGCTGAGTTCACTTATGTATTAACCTTCAAGTTTTTTTGGGTTTGCTAACCATAAACATAATTCAAACGTATTCCATCCAACAAACTAAGAAGCTAAACAGCTTTATTGTTTTCAGGCTGAGAAACTGTAAACGTTCAAGTAAAATAAATTTGATTCTCAGTTTTGGACACAGTAATTTATTTGACCAATTTGCTCTGTTCAGATAAAATGTATTTCTTAATTATTAAACCACACTGGCAAAGTATGACTAGCATGATTAAATCAGGTTTAAACTTTATATTAAAACAATCAAAGACATAATTTTGCAACTCAATTTGGCATCTTTTAAGGCAATATGTGAATTTTTTAAACATATCATGTCAAACTGACTCCAAACAAAATCGATCGGACCAGTGGTGCAGGTTTTTACTTGCCCTGCAAATATTTTCACTGGCCCCACCACAAAAAAAGTTAACAGTTATTTCTTAGCCACAAATTTACAAAAAAATGTTTATGAATCTGGAATTTAAATATAAAAAAAAAAATGTTAGTTAATGTATAATGAGCAAAATTCAAAGTGTTATGCAAACAAAAGTTGCGGTATGGAAAATGTGCAAGTATTTTATTGCAAAACAAAAGTGGCTGACCTGCCAAACTGATGGCAAACTGTAAAACATCAATTCATTTTTTTTTTAGTAGTGGTGTACCCTCGCGATGTCTCCTTCCAAAAACCTAAAAACAAACGTTTTCTTTTAACATCATCATTAATGTTGCCGTCTCTTCGCTGTACTGGTTGTTATGGGAAAAAAAATAACATGCTCACAACATCCAATCAGATAAGAGGAACCGAAAAGCAATATAGTGCTTATGACATCACAGAGAAGGTAGCATTTGAATGCTTAAAACCCAAACTGTTTCTTGATTCTAAGACTGTATTTGCATGCAATTGACAAATAGTCGCAGGCAAATTAAACTCAGCCAGTAATGATCCTGTCTACTGTGCCGAGCGTCTCGCATGCTGGCCCCAGGCCATTGGGCAGTGCTTATTGTTGAGGCCTGATAAAAGAATGTAATTTTAGATATATATGGATATATCTCCAGATGCCTTGATTCAGCCAAAAGTATGAATTTGAAGGAAAAAATAACACAATTATTATGATTACATTTCACGTAAAAAAAACTACAGATACAAAACTAAAAACTTATTCAACTAGAATGAACTAAAATGTGTATGAAATTGAGCAAAGACATTCAACTAAAACACAGCAACTAAATGTCACCAACTCTTAATTAGCTAATAATAATCATTTGAAGGGAAAAAATTAATGTTCAACTCAAATATTATTACCACCTTACATGTACAAATGAAGTTATGTCCTTGCTAGGGTTGTCGCGATACCATTAACTAATCTTACGATACTATACCAGCTGAAGTATCACAATACGGGACTTTTCCACATGCAGCATTATCTATTGTAATTAAACCATTAATGACGATACTACCGTTTACAAACTACAGTGGCACCGCCAGTATTTTGGAGCCATAGTATCTCGATACTAGAACCAGTAAACCGTGCAACCCTAGTGAATCCCTGCTACTTTAAACATAAATATTACAATTAAATAACAGAATCAGCTGCCCATAATCATAACCAGTGATTGTGATCATGGTGAAAAATAATAATAACAACAGATGATACAAAACTAAAAGCTTTTTCAACCTGTATGAAAAATAGGAAATATACATTAAACTAAAACACTGCGATTCAATGTTACCAACTCTTGATTAGGGTAAATAATTTAATGTTTAACTCAATTATCATTATTACCTTACACATACAAACAGGTTATGTCCCTGCTACCTTAAACATTAGGAATATTAAACTTAAATAACAGAATCAACCACCTATAATCATAACCAGTGATATTATGGTAAAAAAAATAACTACAAATGATACAAAACGAAAAGCTTATTCAACAAGAATGAACTAAAATGTGTATGAAAATAAGGACACATATTACTAAAACAAGGAAATTCAATGTTACCAACACTTGATTAAGCTTAAAAAAAAAAAAAAAGATTTGAAGGGAAAATTTCAGTTTAACGCAATTATTATTACCTTACATGTACAAATAAAGTTAGGTCTCTGCTACCTTAAACATTAGGATTATTACAATTAAATAACAGAATCAGCCGCACATAATCAATTTGATTATGATTATAGTATATAAAAAATAATAATAACTATACAAAACTAAAAGCTTATTCAACTTCATTGCACTAAAATGTGTATGAAAATAGGGAAATGTGTCAAATTAAAACACTGCAATTTAATGTTATCAATTCTTGGTTAAGCTACAAAAATATATTTGAAGGGTAAATAATTCAATGTTTAACTCAGTTATTGTTATTACCTTACATGTACATATAGTTGTCTCTGCTACCATAAACATAAGGAATATTACAATTAAATGATAGAGTCAACCACCCATAATCATAACCGATTGTGATTATGGTAAAAATAAAAATAACTACAGATGATCCAAAACTAAAAGCTTATTCAACTGCATTGAACTAAAACCTGTATGAAAATGGGGAAATGCATTAAACTAAAACACTGTAATTTAATGTTACCAACTCTTGTGGTAAAAAATAATAATAGTAGATGATGCAAAACTAAAACTTTTTCGAATAGAATGATCTAAAATACGTATGAAAATGTAGAAATACATTATTCTAAAACACAGTAATAAACTGTTACCAATTCATGACTAAACAAAAATTAAATCAGATACTAAATGTACAGTATTTACACAGAACTGCACAAATTACGCACAGCTTTTGCATTGATTCTATTCATTCTTCTTCTCACATTCACTCATGAATGCTAAAAATACATTCTCCCACATGTCCACAGCACACTCTTCAGTACGACTTGGCCTTATACGAGCAATATAAGTTTTTATATTTAAAGTCCGGATGAAAACCTGTGCCGGAGACCGCAGTGCGCACTGGCTGAGACGCGATTCAATTTAGCCTTTGTGCGGAAAGAAGCACCTGAGTGACAGAACAACTGCGATAAATCACAGCCTGGATAAATGGCTGCCAAAAATGTGAAACTAAACAACAACAACGCCTTACGTTTTATCTGATATAAGTTGTTGAATTCAAATAGTTAGCGCCTAAGTAAAATACTGTTACGGCAGAGAACAGAGTGTACTGCGAGACGGGTCAAAAGTTCCTCAGAGGTCTGACACTGGTGTTTTCTTCTCAGGCTAACAAAATAAGGAACTTTGTGTCTTAAATTATTACAACAACAATGGGGACTTACTAACAATATATTAGCTATTCTGTTCAACACAATTGTGCTGAAACCCTCCACTGAGTCGGGTCGAATAACGCTAGCTTACATCAAAATAAAAATGTTAATGATTAGCATGTTTGAAAGATAAGCAAATCATAGATAGTGAAAGTTTGAAAGGAAAATGAGGAAACAGTTGTGGCTACATTTCACAATTCCCACGTTAAACGAAGTCGGTAATATCTTACCTTCGGTTTCCATCCTGGAGTTCTGAATGAAGAGAAAAACGACGGTTAATTCCAGGAGCGTGTTTGAGGGATATTTGGAGGATTTCATAGTGAAGGCTTTACAAAAGCATGACCGACGGAGCAGGCTATTCCCAAATCACACTATTTCCCAAGGAAGATGCGCGTTTGCTGTATTTGCGGGTTGTTGGACGGTGGAGCATCGCCCGGTTGGTCCAGTTTCTGTCACCTGCAGCGTTAACGGCGCTCCCGCGGACCGAGAGGCGGGATGGACTCTACGGATCGTCCCTTCAGCCGGAGCTCCACATTATTCATTGAGAAGAACTTCGTCATTGACGCGCGAATCGGCATTAAACACTTGTGTAGTAAAGCTAGAGGTCGTTGTTTTCAGTTTGCTCCTCAGCGAGAGCGCCAATTCATACTCCTACTATCAGTATAGTTGGTGGAGCCTATAGATGAGAATGAGGGTGTTTGAAGACTTGCTGCTGTTTCATAGCTCCAGACCCCAAATCCATTACAAATTAGTAAATAAAGTAATATTATAATCATTGGTATATTTGTCTGCACACTGCATAAACAAACAAATCATAGGTAAAAAAAAAAAACATTTAACGTTTATATATACGCTCACCGGCCACTTTAATAGGTACACCTTCCACCTGGCTGTCAACTTAACGTAAATTTCTTATCAGCTGCATGGCAACTCAATGCATTTAGGCATGTGGATATGGTCTAGATCAGGGGTTCCCAAACTTTTCAGCCCGCGACCCCCAAAATAACAATGCCAGTGACTCGCGACCCCCAATATCCTCTGAGGTGGTTACAAATACAGAAACCTTGCATGCAATGACGCAGACACACCAATTAAATTTGTGTCAGTGCTTTAAATGTGCCAGAAAGTATAACCTGATTTTATAAAATCAAAATGCATCTGACGCTATTGCTGCCTTTAATATAATGTAATTACCCCAGGGGCGCAATCCAATAGAACTGGTAACTATAAGGTACTATAGTAACTGTATAGTATATAGTAACCATAAACGACTATTTTTATTTTCAGTATAGTTATGGATAAAATATGTTAATTCTTATGGTTTAATAAAAATAAATAGATTTTTGGAAATCACCAGGCGACCCCCCTTCATTGCCCCGCGACCCCTCGGGGGGTCCCGACCCCCACTTTGAGAACCACTGGTCTAGATGATCTGTTGCAGTTTAAACTGAGCATCAGAATAGGGAAGAAAGCTGATTTAAGAGACTTTGAACATGGCATGTTTTTTTGTTTTTTGAGATTTCAGAAACTGCTGATTTTCACGCACAACTCTAGGGTTTACAGAGAATGGTCAGAAGAAAAAAAATCCAGTGAGCAGCAGTTCTGTGAGCGCAAATGCCTTGTTGATGCCAGAGGAGAATGGCCTGACTGGTTGGAGCTGATATAAAGGCAACAGTAAGTCAAATAACCACTCGTTACCAATTAGGTATGCAGAAGAGCGTCGCTGAGCGCACAACACGTCCAACTTTGAGGCGAATGAGCTACAGCAGCAGAAGACCACACCGAGTGCCACTCCTGTCAGATCGGAAACTGGCAATTGCACAGGCTCACCAAAAATGCACAATAGAAGGATGGAAAAACAGTCAAATCTGATGAGTCTCGATTTCTGCTGTGACATTCGGATGGAAGGGTCAGAATTTGGCTTTAACAATTTATGACCACAGTGTACCCATCTTCTATTGGCTACTCCCAGCAGGATATTGCACCATGTCATAAAGCGAGAATCATCTCAGACTGGTTTCTTAAACATGACAATGAGTTCACTGTACTCAAATGGCCTCCACAGTCACCAGAACTCAATCCAACAGAGCACCTTTGGGATGTGGTGGAACAGGAGATTCGCATCATTGATGTGCAGCCGACAAATCTACAGCAACTGCATGATGCTATCATGTCAATAAGGAACAAAAGCCAGCTGCAACCCAGTATCAGGAAACTGTTGTATTAATGTATAGTTTAATTAAATATTAATAGAAAATGTAAAATCATAGCAGTTATCAAGTGGCATCACATAATGACGCGTGACTATAGCCCTTTTCACACATGCAGACTTTTCCAGAAAATTACTAGCAATTTTCCAGAAAGCAATCATGCGTGTATGGGCCCTTTTTGAAAATATAGGTAAATTCTTTCCAGCAATTTTCCTGAAAGAGAAGATGTAACATTACCTGTAATTTGCCGGAATGCTGCTCTGTGAGAAAGCAGAAGGAAAATTGTTGGAAAGAATGCGTTCACGTTTAAAAAACGCTAATGTACGACATCTACTCTGACCAATCAGAACACTGAAATGCATAAACATCTGCTATTTTTTTTGAAAATAAAAGCCTTTGAATATTTTTCCGGACACATTTAGCTGCTAGTTGTCAGATAATGTTTCTTTGTTCCTTCTTAATGCCAAAACATTATCGAAAAAATGCTTATGATAAGCCGTAGTTTGTTTACCTTCAAGCTCTGCTTCAGTTGCTTGATGCTTGTGCCCGTGAAGCAGCCGGTGAGCGCCAACACACACACATATTATGTACGTCTCGACATGTGAAAGTGTTCCTCCACATGTTTTCATTGAAGTTGTTCACAATACTTATCCATTCAGAGAATTTTAATGTAGTTAAATGTGTAAACAAGTAGTTGGGGTTCGCATTGCTGCATGTCTCTGGGACAAAAAGCAGCTGCATGAATGCTAAAGCTTTAAGTGAAACTGTCAACAAAAGTCAGACTCCTTCTATGCTTACAAATACAAGCGCAGCTGTTTGGAGGCCATAATTGGTTAATGATGTCAGAATTTACCAGTATTTGGGAATGGATGTGTGAATGGTCTTTTCCAGGAAAATCCCGGATTGTACTTGCCTGTGCAAACAGCGCTTTTTTGAATTCACAGGTAAAGACGTTTCAGAAACTATCCGGATATTTACTGGTATCACTGTGTGAAAGCCGCTATTGTTGTATTGTATTATTTTGCTTCAACGACCACAGTAAAAAGTGTAAAAATAATAAAAATACTAAAATAATAATACTTTTACTAAAAATATAACACATTAACTGATTAAGTTTTTATTTTTAATAAAAAAAAATCTAAGATAATTTTGAAAAAGGACACATTTAGTGATTTCAATTTTACTTATTTATTTATAATGCATAATAGCCTACGGAAAAAGTGTCATGCATGTTTAGCGATCAAGCCAGTCCTTATCAGCAATTATTATAAAAATCTTTAGATAAAGCTCAGTGATAGGCCTACATTCATTTTTATAATCAGTATTTCAGGAGCAATGTCATGCTACATGAAAGCAGAACAGCAGGGTTGGTGTACAGCTTCAGGCAGCGATGACCAGTTTCCCTTTAACTACTGGTGTGTGTGTGTGTGTCTGTGTCTGTGTGTGTGTGTATTCTGTCTAGCCAAAGCTCCTGCAGACAGATTTTCCACGTCACTCTCTCGCTCTTTTTTTAACGTTATCTTTTGCTTTATTTGGAAGACTCTGCTGAAACCAGTCCAAGCTGGCCTTAGTTGGTTTCCATGCACCCTCCAATCACAAGCATAAACATCACATCACAAAACCCCTGAGTTCATATTAAGCCCTGTCCTTTAAACATTGTTTGGGTTATTTTTAGTCACAGCTCTCACTTAAATAGTGTCAGGATTTATTTATTTTTAAACGCTCCAGAAGGGAAGCTGTGGTTGTATTTCGCACTGAATGATTCAGCCGCGTAGGAGCTAATTCATGCACATTGGGAGTCTTTGAAAGAAGAGAAGTCGGCCACCAACAGAAGGTCAATCAATTGATCCTCTCACCGGTGGAGTGCAAATCCGATAACACACATCCAGTCAGTCTGTCACACACACAGGGATCACCTGCTAGTTTTCTTTTATCAATAATGAATTGAAATAAAGAGTGAATCGTCAATCGAATCAAACACTGATAAGACTACAATGGAGAACCATGAACTATATTTAAGCCGCCTGCAAATCCAGAGATATATGGAATGGATAACGGATATTAAAAATGGTTTTCCAAGTATCAAAGTCCTAAAAATACTGTAGGCTCATTAATAGATTGATGCTCATAGCCTTAATTACCATCTAAGCCTTCAACGAGTGCAGATAATGGGATTGATGTCATTTTTCATTGGTTCCCACATAATATGTAGCATCAATATTTAAAAAGAAACTAGATTTTTTAGGTGTTTCCAATCGCTTAAAAAATGTTTTATTGCATATGTCAGAAGATTTGACTGATCCCATATGACTTAATAACTGAAAGATTAAAGTTTGGCCACCGTACATCCTTTATGCTACAACTATGCTCTTAGAAAGATCCTTTCTTTTATGTCGAATGACATTTCTTATTTGTCCTATGTTTCTGAACAATAAAAGTGCAGATTTTTATTATGGTAGAAAGATAATAAAAAAAGCGTAATGCAGTTTTTGGTACGACGCCTGAAAGAAATGTAATAAACGAGAGCATGTGTTATAGAGTGCAACAGTCAGGTTCAAAAAGCGAAAACGTCAGAAAAAGTGGTTTTTAACAACTGATAAACCTCTAAACCTGTTGTAAGCTTTGAGGGGTTTTCAACCAATTGTATATTGAACACATGTGCTCACATGAAGTTTTAATCAGTGAACATGTTTAATAAACAGTTTAATCAGAAACATGTGCTCACATTAATTGTCTTTTTAAGACAATTGTGTTTAATAGTGGAATTTGTATTAAAAAAAAATACATGAAGCTGTACAGAAAATTCAACCAATTAGAAAATCCCAAAAAGTTTAGGTAACTCAAACCATTTGAGGAAACTGATTGGAACAAATCATTTAAGTTCAAACACTTATCCTAATAAGTAATATAAACTTAAACCATTTGAGAAAATGAAGAAATTTGAGCACAGTAAAACCCAATAAATGAAGAGAATTCAAACCAACTGCGTACTGTAAAAACCCAATAAGTTAAGGCAACTCAAACCGTTTGAGGAAACCGATTGCTACAAACCATTTGAGGTAAAAATAAAAAATAAAAACTCATACAAGTACTGTGAACTTATTCCAT